TTTACATTTATTTAAATGTAAAGGTAGGAAAAGAAACAGGCTGTATAGAGCAAATTTAAGCCAAATAAAAGTGGGAGAATAACTACATTTTTAGGATGAAAGCTGGCTACTGTGAGAGAACACAGTAGCAAAGAGCTCAATATGGGCTGTCCTTTTGTTTCACTCACTCTTCAGGCTGACATAAGGTTTAGGCTGTCCTGTGAAAACACTGCCCAAGTTCTCTCTAGAAGTCCATGTAGGGCTTTGGGAACTGTTCTCTTTGTATGTGTCTTGGGATTTTGTAATTAACAACTCATGCCCACTTTCCCAGCCAGCTTTGCCATGCCCAAATCTCCTGCTTCATTTCTCACTGAGAGACACACATCCCCATCATTCTTCATGGGATGCTGAGGGAGTGGAGGTCTTTGTCTTCATACTGCTGCTTCCTGCTGAAAGAGGCCCCTACCTACTGGGGGTTATGTGCTCTATAACTACCCTGAGGTGTGGTGGCTCCCTGGCTGTACTGAAGAAAAAACAAACCTGTCAGAAGACAATGAGATAAAGTTAGTCACTGTTGTCTATTCAATAGGAGAAGGAAAGTAACTTTATTATGAAATTGGTGATGTAGAGCCCAAATATGAGGAGTAGTGGGTCAGATTGCCATGCTTCCTGTAGAGGAGAAAGTATGACACCCTTCCAAAAATCAAGGATGTTAGATACATTATTGAGTGCTTGAGATTCATACCCACAGCAAGATAACACACATTATATATCAATTAAAAGCAAGAGCCTCAATGTAGGTACCCATTTAAGCTGTGGTGGATTAAAATCATTAGTGACTCTACTTGTCTCTACCCAGAGCAATATTGGAACCTTACTTCTTGAAGAGGAACCTCAGGTCTTCCAGAGGTTCAGAGGAGTAGCTTTCTTCCTAGTCCTTTGAAAACTCAAGTGATAGTTTCCCACGTAGGATTTTTATACTTTGCACTGTGTCCCTTGAGGAAGAAACACTTTAATGGTTCCTCAGAAACTGGGAATAAGGCTAGGGCCTTGAGGGGCTGAAGACTGCCCTACTTACCTCCCTACAGCCTTTTGAGTTCCCAAAGAGACTTTAGACGTGTCTCTGGGACCCCTTGCAATGAATGACAGTGACTTGCTTAGGATGATTAACTGCCTCTAAGAGTTGTAGAATTTACTGCTTGTGCTTTATAGATGATTGCTTATTTGTCAACAAGGCCCTTTCTTTCAAAATTGCTGCATGAACATGTAGCACCAGAAAGGCATATTTGGAGTCTGTGTACCTATTTAGCTTTTTGCCTTTTCCTAATATCAATGTCTGAGTAAGAGCTATGAGCTCTGCTTTTTGAGCTGAGGTATCTTGGGGAAGGAGCTTGGCTTCAATGATCTGTTACAATTCAACAACTGTATAACCTCCCTTCAGCATCCTTGGACAAAGCTAACCCCAGTGGCAAACCACACATCCTCAGATCACTGATGTCCTGACTGCTTGCATAGGTCTAGGTAATCATCTATTCACAAAAGCAGAATGCAAGCCTTTATGGAAACCTCAGGAGTGTCTAGAATCATGGCCTGACATAGTCCCAAAAGGTAAAATCTGCTTTGGCCTTTGCCAGAATTGGAGAAATGACCTCAATTTTGCTACTAGGAGGACACTGTGGGACAATTAACAACTTATGGATGAATATTTGACCTTCAAAGTAACATGTCAGAGTAGGAGTAAAGAAGCTCTGACTAGGGCTTTCCTCCATCACAATTATGGCTATAGATCTAGAAGAGGGTTTTCTAGAGAAGGAAGTTAAAACAGAAGCCAAAGGAATTGAAACTGTCCATGAATCCAGAATCACCCAAGTTTTCTCTCAGGAGATGGAGGTATCTATGGACAGGGCCACTGCAAGTTACCCTGGATTTCTTCAGTCCTCTTTATCAGAGTAGGGGGTGAGGATTTTGGCTGGTGAAGCCCCTCTCTGAGCTGGCACAGTCAATCCTCCATTGCTATGAGTCAGGCACATCAGCTGCAAAGAGTTCAGTGACAACTGTCCTTTTTGTATCGTCCATTCCTCGGGCTGACATCAGGTTGAGGCCTTCCTATCAAAAACCTGCCTGAGTTCTCACAAGAAGTCCACATGCAGGGCTTAGGGAACTGTTAGGCTTGTGTGTCCTAGGAATGTGTAATTATCAAGTCATGCCTACTTTCCCAGCCAGTTTTGCCAGGCCCTAATCTATTGTCTCAGAAGTATCCAACAAAAACAAAACCAGAATCTTTTTATGGAATGAAGCGGGCTGCAGGGTTCTTGGGCCACTTTTGCTATATAGGCAGCAGAGCTGTAAGGAAAGAACTTCTTTGAGCATTTCAGAGATGAAACATCCTTCTCTCCAACTACTTCATGCACAAGATTATAGAAGGGTGATCAAAAATATGATGAATGTTTAGTTTTTTAAATTTAAATTAAAAGACACTGTTGACAAGAACAATAAGGTGTGTTTGAAGCAAGGGTATTTTAATAATTCTGAGAATTCATGGCAATATTTTTTAAACGTAATACTTTTTGTCTAAACATTCATTGCATTTTTTATCACATCCTGTTAATAAACTATTTATGGCAATTCTGTCAAGTAAAAACATTACAGTGGGTCTTTAGGTGAAGAAAAACAAGTCCAGAGCCCTAATTTATAAGTTAGTGTGAAAGGACCTTTAAGAATGTTTTGAGTTTTTTAGAAGGAAAAAAGGCCTGTCTTGAAGCTGTAGTTTTTCTTAAAAATACAGTTTTTTAGTCTTGATTATCTGTTTTTTACATTTTCCATCCTACCTCCACCAGGTTCTCAGGTCTGGCACCCTGCAGTCAAAATAACCAAGAAAGGTAAATGTTCTGAATCACTTCAGGCCATCAAGGCAGCCAAGACAATGCAACTGAAGACACTCAGGAAAGAAGACTTCCAAAACTGTTTCAGAAAGTGTCAAGATGGATGGGATACGTGTGTTGAAAGTGAGGTGAAAGTGAGGGGATGTATTTTTTAGGGGGATCCATGGCAATGTGCCTTTTACTGTAATAAATTCAAATTTTTAAACGTTCTGGGTTTTTGTTTTTTGTTTTTTTTTTTTCCTCATACGGTGCATGCTTGGGGTTTAACAGGCAACAACTATAAAAATCACTCCTCGTTAGCAACACGAAGACATGTACATTCTTTTGAATTCAGGACCTTGCACTTGCAAGGCAGGCGACGGAACCACTGAGCTAAATCCCCCACCCCTAATCTGTCCAAATTGGGAACACCCTTCTCCCAAGACCTTGGACCCCTTGTGACTGGCACTACAAAGTGGAACTTTAAAAGTTAGATGTTCTCCTTTTAGCAATAAGCTACTTCTCCAAACTTCCTGGTTAAATCAAAGAATACGTAGTGCCAACATCAAGAGGCCTGGAGCCCGGGCTCTTTTCCACAAGAGCTGATGATGGCTGGAAGAGATAAAACAAGTGCGGAGACCTGCACTGTCTCTCTGCATTTCCCTCGGCAATGTTCCTTACTACAATAGGCCCAGGCCCTTGCCTTACCTGCACACGGGAGACAGTGACTTGAGGCAAAGGGGCCGTTCCATCCCCTCGGAGCTAGCTTTGAATACCGCCATGCCTTTTGCCAAACTATATGGGCCCCTTTGATTTAGTAAGCAAAGGCACCTAAGCTTCTGAACCGAAGTGTGCGGTAACATTCGCACCTCCCGCCTCCCACCCTCCCTTGCAGATCTGGCGTCCAGAGCGCATCCGCAAACCTGGCGAGCAAGTACAAACCACTGATGGTGAGTGTCTAAGCGCACAGGCATGTGTGTTTCCACGGCTGAAAACTAAAGCCGGGCTCTGTCTCGTCCTCGCGCGGCAGGAGCGGGAAGACCGCGGTCTGAGGTGTCCCCGCCAGCGCCGGGACGCAGAGGCC